AATTTACGTCTCCAGTGCAGCGTCTTCCTTGCCCGTGCACCGTAGCCCACCTATTGTCGGTATACTAGCTCGGGGCACGTCAACAACTAATCATCCGAGCAGATATGGTCTGATCGGACTGGAAACATGCCACGGTCCCAATCTCAAATAAAGATGCCAAAAAGACGATCGGCCGTGGTGTGTGTCCAGCACAGCTCTCCTTACCATTTCGCCCGTCACGTTGCCATCGCGCTGCCAGCCAAGGCCGCAGCCCTTCCTCTCAAGTCCCTTCCGTGGACGGCCACTTGCCGGTCGATGCGCTCGCGGGCACGCCGCACGCACGCCCACGGCGTCGGCGCGTGACAGCTGACACGGCGCTGCCTGCCATGGACGGGGCACGTAATACTCCACCAGTCCCACCTGCTCTGCTCATCATCAGCTTCAGCGCGGCGGGCCGCGCTCGCCCGATCGCATCGGGTGGCCTGCCCCCGCGATCATTCACGCTTACTCCTACTGCGGGCCGCCGTACGTTAGTGCGATCTCGCAGCTGGATGGATCGTGGCGCAGCGTGCGTGCCAGGCAGCAGTCAACTCCGGGGATAAGTATGCCGGATGCCTCTTGTTTTTGCCTTTTCCGGACCTGAGCCCGGACCCCGGAGGCGTGCTGGCACGCTGTAAAATCCGTGGACGGTCAAGATGTGACGTAGTGGATCGTACGCGTATTTCTTTCTCCGAATCTCTGAAAAGAAATGCTGGCTCCTCCGATCCGGACATTTCACATTCACAAGGGAAAAAAAGTCAATGCAAGCAGAGAGAAATTTACAGTGGCAGTAATAAGCACCGAGCAAAGAAGCGTGCCAGGCCAGCCAAGGGCGGGTCTCTTTCCCGTTTCCGTTACGATTATTTCGCTGGCCACATATTCATGATCACTTCTCTTTCACAAAAGGATTGGCCAAAGGGAAAAAGAGTAGCAAGCAAACGCGCAGGCCCCCACGGTTCTTTCGCGGCCAAAGTTGACAGTGAACCGCATCGATCGATGGCTCCTTTTCCCGCCTCGCTCTGCAGATCGATCAGAAGGTGGCATGTTATTGTTGCTTTCGTTGGCGAATGGCGATCAAGCTGATCATCGCAAATGGAGGTCGACGCAGCCTTTGTTATGCTGGTAGTTAGTCTTGCGGCTGAATTTTCACGCCCTTTTTTCCGTCTTGCTGGAAAGCGTCATGCATATGCTTTCTGCCAACGTCGTCGTCGTCGGTCGTAGCACTAGCACCAGTGGCTTACCAGTAGGACGTTGGTATCACGGTTGGCTAAACCTCAGATGGCTGGCTGGGAAGCATGAGCTACCGGCCGGCCCTGTTTCAGTTCGTGCTTGTGGATGCATGGGAGTGTAGCTTGAGGCATCCAGACACATAAAAAATTTGTACACCCTTTCTTTTCTTTTTATAATGTTCTTGTGCTTTTTGCAGAGCTGCAGTTGATCTGCCTAGCTAGCTTGCCGCCAAGGTACGAAACCGCTCACGCGCGCTGTCACGCGTAGCAAGCTTGCGGCTGGAGTTTTGCATGGTTCCATTCCATTCCAAACAGAGAGAAGAAAAGCGCGAGGTCGAGAGATCTGAGAGGATCGATCTGTGCCTGTGCTTGCTCAGTCGGCATCATGTGCCACTTGTTCGTCGTGGTGGTTTTCAGGCTTTCAGCTCACCCGGCCCCCTGTCTGTCGGAGAAGAGAAGAGAACATTGCATTGAAGACTTGCAGTGTTCCGGGACCGGTTAAAAACTGCAGAACGAAACTTCCTCTCTGTCTGAAAACCTACGGAGAGGAACACAGTGGCAATGCATGATGGGTAACCTGCCGTTGCTGAAACCTTATGATTAAATGCTTCCCAGTTATAAAGGTGAATGGTGGTTGGAATTAGTGTACTGTGTACATTCTGAAGAGAAATTTTCTGTACTGTTACGAGTTAGCTTCTGCCAGGCTGAAAAGGTTAAAAATTGGAGCAGAGGGACGGGTAGCTAGCCGATTGAAGTTGTAAAGTACTAACAACACGAATTGGTCCTTCCTAGCTTCCTTCTGCCAGTAAAATCAATCCTTGCTAAGTTCGTATGCATCGCTTTAACTGCAAGGGAACTGGGAAAAGCTTGCCTTTTGTGTGACGTGTGAATGAACAGTGGTAGTAGTCAAGAAGCTGTGTGCTGGAACAGTAGTTCGGAAAAAAGCGTGTAGTGGTAGATGGTACTCTTTGTTAAAGAGAGAAATTTAGAGTTGAGCAGTGATGAGCTGGTGGTGCAGGAGACTGGGCTTAGAAGGTATGGCACTATATATGGCAGTATGGCAGGCGCAGGAAAGACGAAAGAGTATGGGATTCTTGTGAGCCGTTGCGGTTGCAATGTTCCCAAGAAGGGTAAGATGTTCATTGCAAGATGGCGATTACACTTAACTCTGGCATTTCTTTGAAAATGAAGTTTCTAGCTCACTTATGAAGCTAACCATGTTTCCGTGAGAGGACAATGTGCCATACTGTCATCGCCCATCGACGCAATCCGCTGCAAAGTCTCGCGAGAAACGCTAAGCACAGAGACCGACTGATCGAGACTCGGCCGCTGAATTCAACATGGTCGGTTAGGTGCGGCGTCGCGGGCAGTCAGGGCGCTCTCTCGTACGAATCCGTGCCGTCTGTTTCACTTTCGTCACATTTGATTGAAACGCAACACGGAAGAACGGTGCACTGGATGGGGTGGCGATCAGGGGATTTTGGCCCTTAGCACGTCCATAGCCGCGCATCATTAGACACGACTTTTTGTTCGTGGTATATCGTCGTGGGTAGTGTTTGTGACACGGGGACAGGAATATGATGCTTCCCTGCTGTGGACAGTGACGGCAATTGACAGGCACCACAATCGCACTACGAAGCAAACATATAAAAGAGAGAGAGAGAAAAAAGAGGACAGATAACGTTTTAGAGGAAAGCGTGTCAATTTGAACCATTTAGGCCCATTTCAGTCCAAGGCCTAATACAGATGTGGCTGTTTTCAGGCCGAGGCCCATATTCTCGTTTGCTGGGTCAACTTCGTCGTCCTCTCTGCGGCCCACAGACAAGGACACGGTGTTGACTATCTCATCGAGTCTATTGACACTGCCAAGGCGGCCGGGCCGAGGCTTTCAAGCGCCGATCCCTCTCCCAACGCCGGAGGAGGAGATGGCCGTGCCGGCGCCCGCGAAGGTGGCGCGCTTGCTCGCGGCCTCTGCGGCGGTGCTCGTGCTGCTGTGGTGTGTCTATTTTCGCGGTGGGCTCTCGCTCAGCTCCCCCACTAACAAGGGCCTCATCTTCAACGTAAGACTCTTTTCTCTGCCGTTTCTTCCTGTGGACATAGGCGGCAGGTAGCATTCGATTTCATGGCCGTAGAGGTCCCCGGGTCCTTGGTTTGGTTGGAATCTGATTGCCGTGAACCCATTCCCGCGAGGCGAACGGGGATCTGCTGTGGTCATACTCTTTTGGGTTCAACTACCACGGCGGAGATCGACCGGTTTTAATGCCACATGGCGGTTCATGGCTGCTTAGTTGCTTTTCTGTAACTTGCTAGGCTGTGCTGTGCTGTGCTGTAATCACTGCTTGCTTGGCTCTAGTGGCCCTGGCCTATGGCAATCTAGCGTTGTAGTGTGCTCTAGTAGGTTTCAGGTGTTTGGAACCTAGATGTTATGTTTCACCATTTTACCTTGCATTACTGCTCTCTTGTTATTTGCTAGCCTAACCCAGGGAGGACATGTTTAAGTTGTGACATCCAATTGAAACGCTGAATTTGTTTCGCTTGTTATCCTAACCTATAATAATTTGGTCAATTTAAATTTGCTTATATGTTTAAGAGTAATGATCTGCATATTTTAAATATGACCAATTTCATTAATTTGAGATCGTTTGTCAGACTACAATAGAAATTTGTTAAGACTAGCAATCTGTCTATATCCCTATAGCTTCGGAGTTTTCATCACCAACATGAATGTGATAGGCTGACATCTAATTTATTGTTCTTATTTAGCCATATGTTCTTGAATCCAGAACTAGTATATCAGGGTACATTGCGATGAGAATTGGAGCTTAAGCCCTTCAAAGTTACAACTCTACGGTAAAAAATTCTCATAGACTTTATGAGGCCTGACGTTGTATAAATGTATATCGATTAGGATTTCCATCCAGCATTGTCAAGTTCCTTAGGTCTCTTTTTAACCAAAGTTTGTTACCTACTTTTATTGAAAGCATATGATTTGTTTTAAAACAAAACTGCTGGGGGTACCAGCTTTCAGTAAAGTAGCAGAGCACATGAACAAAATATAACTGGAGCTAGAAAATGTACAGAGGGGGAGCCAGCTAGTAATCATATTCTAAATAGAAGAGGCCATATATTAATTGCCAATTATTTTAGCTTGGAAAAAATATATGTACATTAGAGTTTAGATGAAGCATGAGGTGGGCATGAATCCTGAGATCCAGAGTGTTTTCCAGGACAGCATGGAGCAAGGAAAGCTCTAATTGAGGGCCGGTGCCGTAGCACTTTGTCAATTAGGGCAGCAGTAAATTATTAGGCTGAGCTGTTTTACCTTCACAAAAACCCAATGCATGGATCCGGCATTGTAATTACTCTGTTTTGTGTTTTGTACCTTTGCTACAATGGCGCTGGGTTCACCTCCCCCTCCTGCGTCTCTTCGGTGCTGATGCATAAGTGAATTATTTTGTACAGAATCTCAGTCACGGAGTTTAAAATTTTATTTTCTGTCGCCATCTTACTGACACCCCAGATTACCCAAATCAGTTACTGCCAACGAAAGAAAAACCTAGATCATTTTCTTCTCATCAATAGGAAGCCAAGAAATCAGAAATCATTCACTGACATGGGGAATCCCTAGTTTTAATTTCAACAAAAAGGATCCTTAGACGCGTATGTTGTCATGGCTTGCCTCCCCCCACCCTGAAGGATAAGGTTCTATTTAAAATGTCCGAATTCCTAATGTAATAAGCCAGGTCTGTGCAGGTGCATCCTGTGCTTATGCTAATAGGATTCATCATCCTAGGGAGCGAAGGTATAGTACAAGTCCTTTTTTATTTACACGATGGTCTTTCCATCATGTGGCAGCATTGAACATTTGTGACCAAGCTGTTGCATTTGTCTGCAGCCATAATGGGCTACAAAATATGGCCATGGAGTCATGATGCAAACAAGATGGTTCACATGCTTCTTCATGCTGTTGCACTCTTCCTGGGTTCTGTTGGGATATATGCTGCCTTCAAGTTCCACAATGAAAGCGGAATTGATAATCTCTACAGCTTGCATTCGTGGGTTGGACTTGGAACTATCTGCCTGTACGGTATACAGGTGATGCACACAAACCCTTTTTATTTGGGGCTATTGCGTTCTTGCCCCTACTTTGACGTCCAGTTGTGATTTTACCCCTGCTTTTGTCATCATTGTGATTTTACCCCTGTTTTTTGAAAATGAAGCTTAAGTTTACCCTTATTCCGTGAACAGCAGGTAATTGTGTCAAATGGGCTCAGTAAGGACAAGTTTGCCCATGTGAAATTGTCCCTACTTATCTGAATACATTGTGATTTTACCCCTATTTTTTTTTGAAAAATTTGGCAGCATCATTGCACACCTTGTTACATATGATTCCACACAGCATGCAAATATAGATATATAACATCACATCAAGTGAAAGTGTAGCAAAAGTATCCATACAGCACCAAGCCTCATCCAACATACAAGTCCAACAAAAGCGGTAGCTAATAGTGAGATATTACATGTTCAGTGTCATACATCACATTCATGCATCTATTCCTAACAATGCAGCCAACCTCCCTCCTCTTCCTCTTCCTTCTGTTCCAGCCCCTTCTGTTCCTTCTGTTCCAGCCCACATGTAGTGCTCAGCTATGAAATTAACTAGCTGCAGCAGGTCAAAGCTATGCATGTCAACAACTTGAGTAGGCAAGGTTCTACCCTGTCGCCATGATTTTGGTCCCCCATCATGCACACGGCACGCTGCACCTTGGCCAGGTCACCACCGGGCACCACGCTGGGAGGCTGGTAGTTGATGCCGCACTTGAAGCCAGTCGGGCACCAGTCCACGAACTGGATGGTGCGCTTGGTCTTGATGGTGGCCACAGCAGCGTTCACATCCTTGGGACAACATCACTACGGTACATTAGGCAGCAGGCCATGTACTTGCCATGGCAGGGGTCGCATTTGGCCATCATGGAGGATGGCTCGAAGGCGCTGTTGGTGATTTCAGCCACGGACAGCTGCTCGTGGTAGGCCTTCTTCGCAGAGATCACTAGAGCATAGGAAGAAAGCATGAAGTGGATCCTTGGGTAGGGCACCAGGTTGGTCTGGAACTAATTCACATCAATGTTCAGAGCACCATTGAACCTCAGGGAGGCAGTCAGGGATGAGATGACCTGCACAACATCTGTAGCAGCTAATGGTTAGAGACAAAAGCCTAGATTTCAGAACATTTACCTGGCAGAATGCAAAGGCATACCAAGACAGTACCTGGGACACAAGCCTGTTGAGGTTGGTGTAGGTTGGGCGCTCAATGTCAAGGGAGCGGCGGCAGATGTCATAGATGGCCTCGTTGTCGAGCAGTACGGCAACATCAGTGTGCTCGAGGAGGGAGTGGGTGGACAGGACACTGTTGTATGGTTCAACCACCGAGGTAGAGACCTGGGGGGATGGGTACACCGTGAACCCGAGCTTGGATTTCTTGCCGTAATCAACAGACAGGCGCTCCAGGAGGAGGGAACCAAGGCCAGATCCCGTTCCTCCACCAACAGCGTTGAAGACGAGGAAGCCCTGGAGACCAGTGCAGTTGTCCGCAAGCTTCCTGATACGATCAAGGCACAAGTCAACAATCTCCTTGCCAACTGCAAGACAAGCAATCAAGTTTAAGTAAGATGTTCATTACAGAGTGAATATATCTGGGAGCAATGTAAATTGAAGATCAGATCAGATTACATACTGGTGTAGTGACCACGGGCGAAGTTGTTGGCTGCATCCTCCTTGCCACTGATGAGCTGCTCTGGGTGGAAGAGCTGGCGGTAGGTGCCAGTCCTCACCTCATCGATGACAGTGGGCTCAAGGTCAACAAACACAGCACGGGGGACGTGCTTCCCAGCGCCAGTCTCACGGAAGAAGGTGTTGAAAGCATCATCACCTCCCCCAATGGTCTTGTCACCAGGCATCTGGCCATCAGCCTGAATAGAATACAAACATAGCATCCTTATTTATGCAAATTACAAAAGGAGGCCATATGATTCAAATGCAGTCAGTATAAAATTGCATGCCACCTACACTAGTACACCAGGCAGATGCACGATCTTAAGGTAAACTCGTGCCTGAATGACCATGTTACAAACCACGATTAAATCTCAGATTGCAAACATTTCAAATACATGTAATTTGGCCTACAAATCACATCAGCGAATACACAGTTAGCTAAATCGCTCTACAGACATAAACTCATTCTTCCTACAGATTGATACTAATTTTCCTACAAACCAAATCACAGGAGCTCCAAATCTTACCTAATCTCTTCACCAACGTCGCATAAATCCATCTCGCCGGGGTCACTGCCCCTGTCCTCGCTAACTACACCACGATGCCTGCTCGCTTCTGTTCCTGGCCGCCCGACGCCGGGGCGCCTGGCCGCTCGGGGCCGCGCCCGTCCCTCGTTGCCGCCCAGCCGCACCCCACGCTCAGCCGCTGGGCCCTGGCCGCCCGACGAACGGGGCCTGGCCGCTCGAGGCCACGCCCGTGCCCTCGTTGCGCGGCGCAAGGAGCCGCGCCCCACGCTCACGCCGCCCACGCCCTGGCTGCCCGACGCCCGGGCGCCTGCCCGCTCGACGAACGGGGCCTGGCCGCTCGGGGCCACGCCCGTGCCCTCGTCGCGCGGCGCAAGGAGTCGCCCAGCCGCACCCCACACCCACGCCGCTGCTAGGGTTTCAGAGGATTGACGTGAGGAGAATGAGAGAGATAGAGAGGATACGGTAGAGGATGGGGGATTGGGGAGGGTATGAGTGGATAAGGGGTATTATTGTCCTTTGGTCTTACTGTGAAGGGTTTTGTTGTTTTTTAATTTTGTTATTCCAGATACAACTAACAGAGTTAAAAGTAAGGGTAAACTGAGCCTTAGTAGTTACAAAGCAGGGGTAAAATCACAACGATGACAAAAACGAGGGTAAAATCACAATTGGACATCAAAGTAGGGGCAAGAACACAATATTCCCTTTTTATTTTTGTAACATTGTGAGCTATGAGGATCATAAAAAAAAACTTTTGGCATGTGTAACAATGCAAGTATGATTGACATACTGCTTTATTCATGAGAATAGTGCTTTTCCAGGTGCAAGCCTTGCACTGCTGTAGTGCTATCTGAGTATTTGTCATAATAAATTGTTCAAACTTTGCAATGGAAATATTAAATGAGAATGAAATATATGTGGTCATCCTAACTTCTAGCATGGCAATGTGGGCTGCAAACCAAACATGTAGAAATTGAACTCCTTTCCTTTCAGCTGAGCTTTGTAAGCATGCAGTGTTCTGTCCTCGTTCACATAGGGTGATGTTTTTTGTTTGGTATAGGGCAGTAATTGATTTGCTGCTATTATTTTTTAGGAGAATTTTGCTGCTATTATTATTTGTAAGACATTTATTTATATATACAAAGCCCATTTCAGAATAAACTTGAGCCTTAATGCATTGATTTCATATTTCAGTGGCTACTTGGTGTTACAACCTTCTTCTTCCCTGGTGCTTCGCCAACAGTCCGGCGCAGAATGCTCCCATGGCACATTCGCGCTGGGCTTGTTGTCTACATACTGGCACTGCTTACTGCAGAGCTGGGTTTCCTGGAGAAGCTCACCTTCCTTCAGGCTGCCGGCCTTGGCAGGTACAGCTCGGAAGCTCTGCTGGTGAACTTCACAGCTCTTCTGATCCTACTGCTCGGCGCTTCTGTTGTTCTGTATGTCACCGCTCCACCGCACAACGAGCACACGCAAGGGTATTCAGCAGTGCACAAGCCCTGAACCACTGATACAGCCTCATCTGTTCCAGATTTCCAGTCGGTGTATCCTTGTATGAGTAAGAATTAAATCCAATCAAATTTTGTCCGCCCGAATTATGGACTCTTAATAACTAGTTCAGTTTAGTGGCGTGTAAATGTGTAATACTGTAAAATACATTTCCCTCTTAACAGTAGGAGGAATACAAAGATCTACAGTGACCTCTTTGGGCCTAGCGAAGAGAAGTACACGGTGACCTGATTTGCTGAAGTTTGTCCTAAATCAGATACGAATCCCTTACGGTGATTACTAACTGAAATCTTCCACTAGCACATCCCAAACCAAATGATCCATGAGATTTTACTACATGTGATGGGATAAGGCTCACGACGAAGATGATCGCATCCTCGACGCGCCCGGCAGAGCGTACGGCGTTGATCTGGCCTTCAATCTGCAAAGGAACCCTAAATTTGCTTTTAAACTACCCCTGTTTTTCATTCTAAAAAACATGATAACTAATGCATTTAATTATTATTTAAATTACCCACAGGTCACATCTGCTATTATAAAAAGTAAACTAAAATAAGTTCAAATTTTCTAACTACAAATATAAAAAAGGACGTACCCAGTGCAGGGAGCTCCCGCTCTGTTCGAGGTCTGGGAAAGGATGTCAGTGGCCAGCCTTACCTCGCTTTGCAAATGCGAGGAGATCTGCGACTCGTAACTCAGTGACTGGGGTGCAGGGAAGGTGTCGATGTAAGCCTTACCTCCCCCATGCAATGCCAGAGATGCGACTCAGAACCCGGGACCTTCCGGTCACAGACGGTAAGACTCTACCGCTTGCACCAGGCCCGCCCTTCTCTAACTACAAATATAAGCTATCATAAAAGATAATTCAATACCCACAAAATACGTTATATGTATATTTCTAAATTGCACACTACTTCTAACACAGTTAAATTAAACTAATAATAGATGTTATGTGCTACCATGTAGACCAAATAAACATGCACATATTAGGATAAATATTTGTTTTAACACTTTTATCAAATGTGAAAAAGCTTTGTTTGATAAACCACATACCAACGATACTAACAATTTAATTAAGTTATATCAATACTCCAAGATAATAAATAATGTAAGATGTTACTTTAGCTAGGTTTATACATTTCGATGCATTATGTCGTATGTAACTTAGTTTTGAGCATTCTATGTTTCGTAAAGCAATACTACTACACATGTGATTCTTCGGTATAGCAAATTCAACATCTTGAGTGCCGTGGTGTCGGTTAAAATGACTATTTATGCCATTGTAGTAATTATTAGTGGAGCCTAGGGCAAAATATATTTTTAAATAAAATACAAAAAATATAAATAAAGATGTAATAAGCAATGAAGTTCCAACTTAACATATGGGTAAAAATATACAAGAACTAATAAGATTAAAAGTTGAAAGTCAAAATATAGATTCATCATGTCACATAAATTAATGCAACAAAGCTGATATAGTTTATACTCAAGTTTCAACTAAATACACATAAAAAATCCACAAAGGTGTAATACAAAGGATGACAACATATCTTAACACTACTAACGGGAGATCCTCAGAGCCTTCACCTTCACAAGATTCATTAGAAAAAAAGAGACACAACAATGTTTATAATAATTAGAAACATCTAGTCATTAATTTGATTTACTTTAAACACCACAGAGAATTGCCCTTGAATCAATTCCATCTAAAAAATTTCACACTTCTTCCACTATGAAAAGACATAAATAGCCCCCCTAATCTACAACTGAACCACCAACCTTTATCATTATGTAAGATAATTTAAAGTAATCTTTAAATTTGCTTTTAGATTATCCACCTCTATCATCAAGAAAGATAATCTAAAGTAGAACGTTTAGTTTACATCTAAATTATCCATTTTTTATGTTATAAAACATAATACTAAAAATATCCCTCAAACCTACATATAATTATCAATATAAGCTATATATATATATATATATATATATATATATATATATATATATATATATATATATATATATATATATACGGTAAGGCTATTCTACAGCTGGCCACGGAATAACTTATTATATGCCCACCTTGATTTACGATAATGACAATACACATTTACGATAATGTTTGAACCAATTTACGATAATGACAACACACATTTACAATACATGGGTTACTATAATTAAAGATGATACTTATTCTATGGCCACTTTGATTTACGATAATGACAATACACATTTACGATAATGTTTGTACCAATTTATGATAATGACAATACACATTTACAATACATGAGTTACTATAATTCAAGATGATACTTACCATAATGCTATAGTAAATCACTTATGAGGGAGTTACCATAATCTTGTAAATTAGTATAGTAATTATCGTAACTCAAAGTGGCCACAAAATAACTTATTATGCGGCCACCTACAAAACTATATATATATATATATATATATATATATATATATATATATATATATATATATGTTTCTAGATTACTCGGTTTTATCTAAACTTAAGTGTTATGTGTCACCATGCATGCCAAGTTTACATATGCATATATTAGCAGTAAATATATATTTATATAGTTTATTTATCACCATTGCAATGCAAGGACAATGAGAGTTCATTTTAAGCTATATTAAAACTCTATCTCTGTGACATTAAATTTTGAGTGTTATTTCTTTATATAAGTTTATACATGACTATACATCAACATTGGTAGTCCGACGGTAAGCACTTTATTTTTTTTATACAAATCAATAATACAACACATGTAATTCTTTGATATAGTAAATTTAACATCTTAGGTGCTGTCAGACAAGCTGAAACAACTGTTTATTCTATAGTGGATGAAGGTACAATAAAAATTGACCTAGAATCTAATAAGATATAAAATAAAAAATGAATAAAATAAAAAATAAAAAATGAATAAAAGGTACAATAAACACTAGAGTTTAAACTACGTGGATGAAGGAATACAATATAACTAATAAGATTAAAACTTAAAAGCTAAAATATAGATCCGTGATGTCACAAAAAGATATAACAAAAGCAGTTGAGTTGTGGAGCAACTCTACGTGTGGACAATTTGTTGAAAGTACAGCGGAACAGCGCTGGTCTGAGGTAGTAGTTGCGTGATTGCGTCAGTAGTACACGGCACTATGTATACCTTCAAATTAAGATGACTGGCTGGTTGCTTCATACTCCTTGATATGAATTTCTGTTAGTACTTAGCAGGTAAACATATGCGACGGGACAGGAGTAACACAAAGATGTATACTGCCATGTGAAAAATGGTAACAAGCCTCCCTTGTTCTATCTCTGCGAAATCTGGCGGCCAAAAAAGTTGGTCGATGAGCTGAACTAGCATTGTTGCCCAACAATCACACACGAATCGCTTACACTACTCACAAAGAAAACCTGCCACCAGTAAGGAGCATGGCGAACGCTCCACCAATAGGCAATAGCGATCAACGCAATTGTGCGTGGCATGGCTATTTGCATTGCCTAGCTCGACGCCGACGCATGCAGCGGGACAACGTACGCCTTCCTAAGCCGAGAAGTAGCTGAGAACGGCGTCCTCCCCTACCAGCCAGGCGGAGCCACCGCCGACGTTCGTATCGGCATTGCCGCCGTCGACAGGCCGCTTGCCCTTCTCCGCCCACGCGGCCGCCGTCCACCACTTCTGCTCGCTGTCCGCCCGCGCCTTCCCCTCTCCGCTGCGTGAAGAAGCCGCGGCAATCCGCGCGGCCCTCCTCTCGGCGCGCCGCTGGGCCACGTACTCCTCCGAGATGTACACGTCCATCGCGACGAATCTTTTGCTAGTTCTCCGAGAGAACGGTAGGTAGCTCGGTAGCCGTTAGGTTTGGGTTTGCCAAGTTTGGAAGGGTAGGGATGTGCAGCTGCAGCATGTGGCGCGGCCGGGATTTATCGGGAGCCGGGCGGGCGTCCAACCGGTGGGCACGGCCACGGTTTGGTTTCTCCGGCCTCCGGGCGCTCTCGAAACCAGCCGCGTCGCGCCACGGGCTCCGCTCCCTCGGCCTCCGATTCTGCGAGCCAGAGCTGCCGGTTTCCGCCAGATGCGGCGAGGACCCGGGGGTCTCTCTCGAAACGGAACGGGCACTGTGGCAGTCGCGTGCAGTGGTGAAGCTAGAGCCAAATACAGGGTGTGCAAGTAAAGTTTAAACTTTTAACAAAATTTTAGATATAGTTCGTAAATTTTGACGGTTTCATGATTTTTTAAAAAATATCATATTTTATAAATGTTACCGTATCCTATAACACGAGTTTATACATATTTTGGTGATTTTTTTTGAGACCCGGATAGAAGCGTACCATCATATACACGAGCGCACACTCATCCCTATAAACACAGTCACATATATTTTACCCCTATAAACACCTCTGAAATACTAAGTTGGACTGGCAAATCTCGAGATTGACGAAGTCATCGTAGATGTCTTGCTATTGACGTGCACATCTTTTACCAGTGAAGAAGTGGAACGGGAATGTCCACATGCATTATTTATCATGGCTCCAACTGCTTGCTATAGTGCACGAAGGCACCCGAGCCGGTGAAACAAAAAATAGTAGTTCCAATGGCTTCTCTAGTTTATTTTAATAAGATAGATAGAAATGGCTTTCTACTATAGTACACTGAGGAGCCAGAGCCATAACTTAATTCAGCTGAAGCTCTACCAAATGGGAACTTAGACAAAAAAAAAAAGATGGGGTGCATAATTTTTTTTCGGTATATGATTTTGCACTGAAGCTAAAATACAAAAATATGAGAAAAGCTAAAATACGTTGGTTTCAACAGTGAAGTATAATATACTTTTTTGCATGCAATTATTAGGACTTTGTTTAATCAACCGAGTATGATATGCTTGATAGCTGGTATGGGATTAAAACTCTTCTTTGGCCGCTCAACCTTTTGTTGGATCTGTGGGTGCATTAATTTTTGGCAAGGGGGTGCACATGTGGTAAAAAATAATAGTTAGCACTAAGTTTTAATTTTGGCGTGGGTGCATCTGCACCCAGTGTCACATACACAGCTTCGCCACGCGTGTGATGTGACCTGGGTCTCCGAGACGCCGAGACGACGGACGGACGTCTCTAGTCCACCGAGGCACGCGAGCTTGCGGGGCCCGGAGTGACGATTCCCTGTGGCCTGTGGATGCAAGTGAAAAAAAAATTGCTCTGAACTTTGGCGTTCGTATATTCTGCCTTTCCTTCACGAGAAAGAAAGAATCTAGCGTTCGTAAATCGTAATCGTACCAAATGTGGAGGCATCGCGAACTCGAACACAGCATGTGAGTCGCGAACCATGGGCTCAGGTCGCAGCGCACCGACAGCAGGAAATGCAGAGACGGCAGAATATGCGTGAGACAGGTGTGAAACCCTGCCTAAAACCTGGTGTCAGTGCATGTGATTAGTGCTTCTTGGGCAATTTCAGGGGAGGCTAATCGCTTTTATCAGCGTACTACTACCAGCTAGTACCACCGTAGTTGAGTAGTTGAAGCCCTGTTCGTTTGGCTCAGGGCATGTTTGGAACGCAGGAATTTTATAGAAATTACACAGGAATTTCACAGGAATCAGTTCAATTTCACAGGGAAAACGTAGGAACAGTGGAAAAATCCCGCATTCCAAACAGGCCCTTTCAGTCAACGAACATTATTTTTATTTTTCTCTCACAACAAATCAGTTAACAGTATTTTTAGGCTTAGGTTGCCTAATTCTGCCACAAAATGCAAAAGCATGAAGACTCACGATGACTCGTCTTGTCCATGGTTTTTGTGTACGTGCCCAGCGCCTGAGTATTTGCTGGACTGTGCTCCAAGCTAAAACCGCGAATCCCCGGGCGCTGTTGGGTTCTGACTTCTGAGACCCTCAGCTGACAAGTGACAACCCTTCATATTTCACCTGATGAATCTTCACAAAAAAGAAGTTAGGAATATGTTTGTTATAGGACTCTTATAACATTGGTATTTGCTTATACCCACACCTCAACATTCTTTTTGCTAGAGAGCACTCTTCAGTTATGATAATTAACTATTATTTACACTATATGCATTAAAATAATACTGGTTTCTAGGAGTGCAGGGAGCACTATGCCGTTATCTATTCTACCCTAACCCTTAATAGTTGCCTAATGATTACAAATTTTGCATATAAAGTGAGATAAAGACGAACGCTATATCAGAATTGTAGAGATCTACAACATTATAGTTGACATGTTTTTTTTAAATATTTATTGTCAAAAAATAAGTTCTTATATTTTGGAAATTCAAAATTTAGGATTTTCAAATGACCTTGGATGTTGATATGGTATCTAAATAAGTTATACTTCCTCTATTCCAACTGTAAATCATTCTGTTTTCTCTAGATATATAGTTTTTTTTCTAGATCGAAGGAGTGTACATTCTGCCCTATAAATTGAATACCGTGCTAAAGAGCACATGACAGACAGGTTAGGTTCCACCCTAATAATTTTCTGGTCTATCCTATGCGCATTACGCCGTTTTTTCAGACTCAGTTTAACTGACAGCATCAGTTGCATGCAAGGTGGTACTGACCGGTGACAGCTGAATTTGGAAAAGGAAAAGAAAACAACTATCATCCATTGTTATAATTAACTGATTGCTACAAAGGACAAAGCGTTTACCGGCATCTCTTATCTCTTATATATACATGAATGCTCGAGTCCGTCACCAACTCAGAGACCAGAAATGTACCGCGGTAAACTATAGATCATAGATGGAAAACCGTCGGTACCGTGCGTGGCTAATAATGAAGCCAATCGATCCTTTTGCCCCCATCCTAACTGATTAAGCCATTTGCTCCAGAATAGTTTTTGCTGTGAAAACCAATACAAAAAAAATTGGCTGTCAGGATAGTAACAGCATGGGAGGAAAGGTCGATGAGCCACTGTAATCTCTTGTTTCAACTGTCGTCAGTCGTCGACGCTCACTATTAACAATGCTCCAAGGTGGGAAGGCAGCGAAACAGGAATAGACTTTTTTTTTGCGAATTATAAGAACAGGAGGGGGAAATTTTGCACATAGTTTTCGGTAACGCAAAGGAGGGAGGTCGTGAGTCGTGACCTCCCCAGTCAGCAGTCAGTGTCAGTCTGTGACTTGTATCTGACGCCGTTCTGTATCCATCTCGCGCGTTGCTTTCTGCTGCCAACCTTTGTTTCTTTTCAGTTCCCCAAAGGTGTTGTGTCCCGTGTCAATCGAGCAAGCCCCGCATCCGTCTCCAAACATCTTTCTTGGTTTTGCTGGTCGGGTTGTTGAAGAAAGCAGTGGGAGATCATCAGAGATGGCCGAGGAGGCCAAGAACACAGGGGCGGAAGCGGTACCGACCAACGACATCGCCGAGGAGAAGACGGCCGCGCCGGCGCCGGAGGTGACCCTCGTCATGGTGGAGAGTAAGACTAGTTTTTAATTTTGATTGTGGCCACACCGGCTTCCGCAGATCGTATGAACATGATACATGAACTGCACGAGTAGATATGGCCTCGATTGTGTTTCCATGATGAGTTAATTCGCAAGTTTTGCTTCGGAAACAGAGGGTTAGCATTTCTCGTTGAGCTTGAGGAGGGTGCAGTTAGACACTGATGGACCTCTGAATATAGTAGCCATATAAAATTTATGGTTTGGCACTTCATGGCAAGATTACAATTTTTTAAACCGTAAGAATCTGAATTATGACAGTCTAGAAATAAACACTTAAGAATCTTAGAGGATAGCATGAATGCAATGCAGCACAATTTACCTGTCAGCAATACCAAAATATTTCGTACGTTCGTTATATTAGCACAATTTATCAGTAGCAATACCACAATTTACCCCTTGATGATAAACGTGCCAACCTCTTCTCTTGCCTTTTGGGACGACAGATGCGGAGACGCCTGCAGCTACAGCCACAGGTGGCTCACGCGACAGAGGTAGTGTGTGCTCTCTACTCTGAATCCACCGAGGAATCGCACGGCGTTGTCCTCACTCTTGTCTCGTTTATATTCAGACGCGTTTCTCACCCGGGTCGTGACCGCGAAGAGGACGTCGTTCATCAGGGCCTGGGAGGAGAGCGAGAAGGCCAAAGCCGAGAACAGGCGAAGTCCTCTCCCTCCCTCTCGTACGGGCCATTAAATGCCTTTTGCAGTCTCCAATCCTTGGGTCTGAAATCTCCGTGTGGCGCAGGGCGGCCAGGAGGCTGGCGAGCGTCACCTCCTGGGAGAACTCCAAGGTCGCGGAGATGGAGGCCGAGCTCAAGAAGATCCACGTGAGTCGCATGCACCAAAAACCACCGTCATGCTTTTTTTTTACCGAACCGCCGATGTAAATGTAATGCCTGCGTTGTTCAACGGAAGGAATGGTGTGTGCGTACGTGCAGGAGCAGCTGGAGATGAAGAAGGCGGCGCAAGCGGAGAAGCTGAAGAACAGCGCGGCGGCGTTTCACAGGGCCGCCGAGGAGAAGCGCGCGGCTGCCGTGGCGCGGCGCGGCGAGGAGGTCATCGCCGCGGAGGAGGCGGCCGCCAGGTACCGCGCCAGGGGGCAGGCGCCCACCAGGCTCTTCGGCCTCGGGCTCTTCGGCAGGGGGTAGCCGGACCACACGCCGCTGCTGATTGCGTTGCCTCCTCCGCCCTCGCGGTTGCTTGTCCTGTGTCCTTGCCTCCTTTTGGTGTTGTGGTGCTGGTTCTGGTTCTGGCGCTGGCAGCCTGGCACACAGAAGGTTTGCTTGGGCTTTTGGCCTCCTTGTTCAAACATCTCGTGTACATATATACGTTGCTGCACCTATGATGGCTATGAAGCTGGTACTTTTTTTTTAGGTGTGTTTGGTTACTTTCGTGACACTGCGTCCTATATCCTATATGAGTGGATGTATTAGTCTGAAAAAATATTATTTGGTTGGTTGCATGGTAAATGTAGTAATCTGCTATGAAGATATTTGGTTGTCTGTGTGGACAGATATGAGGATGACATATGTCAAGCACAAGCTGCATTGTATCCACTAGCTAGGATGGTTAGTGAAGCTCATTTTGAGCATATTTGCCGGGCCGGAACAAAGGACGTATTTTTTGCATTCACTCATGAAGGTGGCATCCACTCAATATGTAAAAAGACATACTTTTTACTTAGATTATATGAATCCACCTGCCAGAATGAAGAGGATACAATCAACCAAACACATCTTTGTGTACCATTAGATATGGATGACGTATGTAGTCGCTAATGCAAGTTGTAGTTACAAGTTACATTATTATAATGCTTTGTAATGAATCTGTCAGGAATGTAGGAGAATTTGAGCGTCTTCTACTTTTGGGGGGCTTGAGTATAGGCTCTATTGTATCTATGTATTTGACCTACATGCATGCACAGTTACTCAGGCGACTTGTGATGGGATACGATGTCAAAACGACACAAAAAAACCATTTGTGGGTTATTTGAACACTATTAGGTGCTTTAAGAGCCACAATATCAGGGGACTATATATGTGGACCTTTTCCTACTATTTGCAGACTTACCATTGTGTCAACACCCATGTAATGTGCCACATGAGTGAAATTGCCTTCAAAACCATCTTATGGAATTATTTATACAACTTTCAATAGTTTAAGGGGTCCAATAGTTATGGGGTTAAGTAGACTTTTTCGTTTACTAACGAGAGAGAAGGGAGAAAACAAGAATAAAAAGGAGTCCTCCCACCCGAGGACACACCCAAAATACGAAAACTATAAAAATACTAGAAACAACTGGCTACCCCGAAACTAGAACATACGCCTCTATAATAGCCCTAATTAGGAGCTCTTGGAGATCTTTAGCTCCAGATGAGCACCATAGGACAAACTCACCATCCTCCTACTACCTACAGGATTGTTATGGCATTTGGCCTCATGCCATTAAAAACATAGTCATGCGGTGCTTCCACATTTTCCATACCACTAGGATGATGAGAGAATTGAGGCCTTTCGTGAGTTCATTTGGCAATGTTTTTATTGCTTGGCACCACCAACATAGAAACCTACCGGTGTTGGCATGAGGCGCTTGAAGTACTAGACCTAACTTCTAAAGAACCACCGTCCAAGTTTGACGGGCGAAACGCATGAGTCAAGAACGTGTTTGATGGATTCTTCAATTTGATCATAAAGAGGATATACAACCATGCAACAAAGATCACACTTGGCAAGATGATAAAGAATGAAGAACACGGTCCAAGTTTGACAGGCGAAACACATGAGTCAAGAAGGTGTTTGATGGATTCTTCAATTTGATCATAAAGAGGATAGACGACCATGTGACAAAGATCACTCTTGGCAAGATAATGAGGAATCCAACATGGATTTTTCACTGCAAGCCAAATGAAAATTTTGAAGTGTCCAAAATTTTCAAACGCTATTCTAAGGTGTGAAGCGAACCCTTCTCAAGAAGAAGGCACTATATGCAGACATTCATTCCTCTTAATTAGAGCCACACAAGCAAGCTTAATTTCACTCAAGGAAACATACAAATCCTATAACAATCAATGTGAGTCGAGCGGGTGAGTCCAGTGGTGGACCCAGAAATTTAACCGAGCCCGGGCGAAGTCTAAGACAACTGTCGGATATCTATACCCGGGTATCCGAGCCAAAGGATTAAAAAGCATCACGTCGCCTCATCCGATGGTTAAAGACGCAACTACGGCCTCGTCCGACTCCAAGGACGAGGTTTCCGCCTCGTCCAACCCCCGGGGGCCAGGTACTGGCTGACTTTGTGGCCAAATGGACCAAGACCCAGATGCCACCGGTGGTCGTCGATCAGGATTACTGGACGATGTACTTCGAGGGATCACTGATGAAGAAGGGCGCCGGCATCGGGCTAGTTTTCGTTTCCCCCTCGAGGTGCTCATGAGGTATGCAATTCGCATCCACTTCCCGGTTTCAAATAATGTGGCTAAGTACGAGGCACTAGTCAATGGCTTGCGCATCGACATTGAGTTAGGCATCCGATGGCTCGACGTCCGAGGTGACTCGCAACTGGTCATCGACTAGGTCATGAAGGAGTTGAGCTGTCACAATGCCAAGATGGCCGTGTATTGTCATGAAGTCCGGCAGTTGGAGGACAAGTTCAACGGACTCGAACTCAACCATATCCCGAGGTGGCTCAACGAAGCAGCCGACACGTTAGCGAAGATGGCATCAAGCCGAGAGCCAGTCCCCACCGGCATCTTCACTAGCGACCTGCACAAACCCTCGGTCTGATACGAGGAACCAAAACAGACCGGCAACGAGCCGCCAGTTCTGGGCTCGGGGGCTGACCGACCTTCAGTTCCATCCGACCTAGAGGTCATGGAACTCGTCGAAGACCTAGTGGCGGAGCTCGACCCTCCGACCGACTGGAGAACGCCTTATCTCGATTGCCTCCTCCACGAGGTGCTCCCTGCTGACAAGACGGAGGCCCGATGGCTCTCGCGTCACGCCAAGTCCTTCGTCGTCATCGAAGGGGAGCTCCACAAGCGCAGCCTCACCGGAATCCTACAGCGCTGCATCCCCGCCAAACAGGGAAAGGACCTGCTGGGAAGACATCCATGGAGGGGTCTACGGACATCACACCGCACCTAGAACCTTGGTCGGAAACACATTCTGGCAAGGTTTCTACTGGCCAACCACGGTGGCCGACGTCAAGCGCTCTAGATGATCCTCATCACGTGGCCATTCGCGGTCTGGGGGCTCAACCTGGTAAGGCCCCTCAAGAGGGCGCCCGGGGGCTTTACGCACTTACTTGTCACCGTGGACAAGTTCACGAAGTGGATAAAGGCTCGGCCGATCACCGTGATCAAATCCGAGCAGGCCATGTTGTTCTTCACGGACATCATCCACCAATTCAGAGTCTCGAACTCCATCATAACCTACAACGGCACACAGTTCACGGGGAAGAGATTCCTTCAATTCTACGATGACCATCACATCCGCTTTGATTGGGCTACCGTGGCGCACCCCCGCACGAACGGACAGGTCAAGCGCACAAACGGCATGGTCCTATAAGGCCTCAAGCCTAGGATCTTCAACCATTTGAATAAGTTTGGCGGACGGTGGGTTGCCGAGCTTCCTGCGGTACTCTAGAGCCTAAGGACGTCCAGCAGCTGGGCAATCGGTTACACGCCGTTTTTCATGGTCTACGGCTCCGAAGCCATCCTTCCAACTAACCTCGACTACGGAGCACCGAGGGTCAAGGCCTACAATGAGCAGGGAAACGAAGCATATTTGGAAGACGCCATGGACCCGCTTGATGAAGCGCGTGACATCACCCTGCTCCGTTCGGCCAAATATCAGCAGACACTACGACGGTACCATAGCCGACGCGTTCGGCGTAGGCAATTTAGTTCGGCGTAGGCAATTTAGTCCTTCGCTGCATCTAGAGCAAAAAAATCGCCACAAGCTTTCAGCGTCGTGGGAAGGACCATACATCATCGCAGAGGTACTCTGACTCGGCACCTACAAGCTCAAGACTGAGGACGGCAAAGCCATCACCAACGCCTGGAACATCAAACAGCTACATCGTTTCTACCCTTAGTCTTCCAAGTTCCAATCAAACTAAGTGATGTTTCTGCAAAAACCGAAAAATGTTACCTCCTATCGGGTTCGCTTCCGATCTGATCGAACTACAGTAATACCCAACCCCAACAACTACTCGGGTCGTGTTTTACTCGGGGGCTGATAGGAGTACATATACTCAGTAACATTTCCTCATCCGACCCTTCTTTTTTATGACGAGACCTAGAAATAAGAATTGCCAAAAACTAACGATGAGTAAAACTGGTTGGAATGCAAAAAGCCTACACCTCGACGGCTACAATATCGCTTGCTCACCAGCGTGATCATTACTTAGTCGCTCGCAACCTAAGTTTCTAATGTCTTAACATAAAACAAGGGTCGGATCGCAATGAACTTTATATATATATATATATAGAGAGAGAGGGGCCCAATAACATTTCCGGCCATAATAAAAGTCTTTATAGAAAGACCGACGCTAGACTCACCTATCTAATTAAACATTCTTGGGCAGGATGTCTTCTTCGAACTTCTCCGCCAGGCCCCACGCCAGGAGCTCCGCTTCCGCCTCAATTTCGTCCAGCTCGGCGTCAGTGTAGCCAGGCGCGAAGCCCTCACTGATCACTGGCAAGTCGATGTCGATTTAGAGGGAGCGAGCGACGGCGAACACGCGATGGATGCCGGTGTGCAGGGCCTCCCTTGCGAGCGTGCTCGCCCGATCCGAGATCTGGGTAACCCGGACTGCGAGCAAGCTCATCTCCACGACCGGGGTGACCCTGAGGTCGTCGAAGACCAACCCGACGGTAGCACGCAGGGCCTCGTAGTTGTTGCTCTCTGACTGGAGTTGACCCCGCACCTCGGAGAGTTGCCTATAAAGGGCTGCTCAAGACAAACACCAAAGGGTGTCAGAAAATCAACTTTGAACGACAACCAAAAAGGTAACCTGAGCCTCACCATTAACTTGCTCCTCGAGGACCATCTTCTCCCTCTAGAGCGCGCCAACCTCCCTGGCCAAGGCGGCGGCCAGGCCCTTGGCATCTTTCTTTGACTTTCGCTCGTTTTCGAGCGCGCGCCG